ATGCTTAATTCCGTGGATTTGTATTTCGAGGATGATTACAGGGAGCAAACGACGGTTAATTTAATACGACAACGTCGGGTTATTAGATATAACTCTAATCCTACAGATATGCCGTCGTCAATGTAAGTATTTAGCGAAATATTTTTTGTTATTGTAAGAATGCAAGTCTATAAACCAAGAGTTTGCAATAAAACTTAACAATTGCTCAATATGAATAAATGAAACATCTATGTGTTAACTAAATTTTAAATCAGATTTATATCTAACTTTCGGCTGAGCAAAGAGGCGTTTATGTACGTGCTTGGTAACATAAAGGACAAACTGGAAGGTCGTATTTCAACATCCATACCACCAATCCTGAAATTGTGCTGCGCTTTAAGGTTTTTTGCACATGCGAGTTACCAGGAGGCCATAGCATAGCGCAAATTGCGCTACACACCTACGAAAGTGACCACGATTATAAACATATGCTGTGCTTTGCACAATATCTGTAAAAAATTTAAAATGTGTGATCCAGACGAATCTGAGATTTTTATTGACGCCGTTGTACCATCGGAACCAGTTAGTGAAAATTCTGGTGGTACACCCGGAGAACGTCGCAGAAGAGAGATAGCTGCTGCATTATTATAAAATAAGTAAGTACTTTATTTAAAAAAATATTTTTAAATTAGTATACATGTTAATAAAAATGAATTCATTATTTACTTAGAAACTAAAGAAATTCACAGTGATACAGAGATTTTTTATTATTAATTTTTTGGCAAAAGAAAATGTACACTTAACAGCAAAAGTCTACGTACACCATTTCTTTTTTAAATATTCACAAAATTTTCCTAGTTAAAATTTGTTGGTTATTTTTTTATAAGATTGTGAATCATGCTTAAAACAAAATCATATAAACCAAGGTCTCAAGCTTTATACAAAATTAAGAAAAATTTCATCAAAATTTTCAACTTTTTAATCAGATTATGGCGCATTCAATTTTAGTATAACAATGTGTAAAAATTAAGTGACTAAATGATCGCGTTGATTTTTATTCATGTTTTATCTGATGGTTCTACGCATTTTCCTCAATATAAAAAAGTTTCACTCCTTTGTATGTAGGAAAATGCGCAGAACCGTAAAAAAAAATTGTTACAAATTAACGCGATTTTTTAACCACTTATTTTTTGCACATTAATATACTAAAATTTAATGGGCTATATATAATCTGATTAAAAAGTTGAAAATTTATATACAAATTCGTGGAATTTTCCTTAATTTTGTATAAAGCTTGAAACCATGGTTTATATGATTGTGTTTTAAGCATGATCCACAATTTTATAAAAAATAAACAAATTTTAACTTGCAAAATATTGTGAATATTTAAAAAAGAAATGGTGTACGCAGACTTTTGCTTTTAAGTGTAACAAAACAATTTAAATTCAAATTTCAAACTTTCTGAAAATTATAAAAGTTCAACAAAGCTTCATCAAAATGGCAAACTTTTCAATTGTTACTATAAAGAATTTTGGTGTGCAGTTTCATAGCCTACTCAATTTTAGTACAATAAAGTACTACTTTGAAGTTGCAAAAAGTCCCGCTGATTTTAGATAATTTTTTCCATACAACAAAATTTTTGAACATACTTTGTGTGGAAGAAAATGCGCAGCACCGTCGGGAAAAAAAATTATAAAAATTTGACGGGATTTTTTAGGAACTTTTAATTTGCACTTCGTTGCACTAAAATTTAATAGGCTATAAATCGGCACACCAAACTTTTTCTAGAAATTCTTTTTAAAAAGTTTGCATTTTTGATTAAACTTTGTTGAATTCACTTACTGTATTTTAAGGTTTTAATTCTAACTCCTTTAACTTCATTTCCATCTTTTCTTTATGTTGTCTCTTTTTTTCTAAATTTTCTTCTTTCTTTCTCTGTTCCTTCATCTTCAATAAGTTTAGTTTTTCTTGTTTTATTTCGTATGTTTTCCTAGCATATCTCGAAATTTCTTCTAGTCTTTTTTCTATGCCTGATACCCTTGAGCAAAGAACTTCTTGCACCTCGGACTGCCTCTCCAACGCACTCAAACGAATGTTTTCGCGGTCCTCCACTGTCATTCTTCTTCTCGCCTGAGTTGACGTAGCCGATAGATCCATTTCTTCGTCCTGCGCTTCTGGCTGGGAAGAATCATTCCTGTCATTGCTCTCCGTTTCTTGGATATTAGCTCCAAATGTAGAGCCCGAGGGGTTGACTGCTTCCTGTAGGTGAAGCAGCTCATCCACAGTTTGCTCCAAAGGTGTGAGGCTTTGCTGGACGTACGGACCTCCTCCTGTGGCAACAGTTTCCCGTCGGTTCGTTGAAATTTTTTTCTTCAACTTCAGTTTGTAGTCTAGCCAAAACTTAATAGTACACAAAAGAAACTGGATTTATTAAGTTGTCTTAGGAAACAATTCAACCCAATTCTTACCTTATTCCACTCACGTCCGTTCCGCATTGGAGGTCCGATGGCGTTAAGTTCGGCCGCAAACTTTTCCCACAATTCTGCCCTACTCTTCTTTGAGGAGCCGAAATTTCCCATCCCCTTGGCAACGTGTGGATTATTTTGCATGAGTTCCACTAGCTTTTCAAACTGTTGCGTTGTTGTTCGTTTTATTCTGAAAAATGTATTGTATTTAATGAAATTATGTACATATAAAACCAATTACTAACGTCTTTTCCATTTTGAAGTGCGAATCGAGAAAACAGTCGCCAAATATTGACAGCTATGGCGAAGCGAATGTCGTTTTTTCGCTAGTGGTAATACACAAAATTCATTTTCGCCACTCGTTCGCCATTTAGCGGCGAATTCGCCAGTGATTCGCATCTCATAATTCGAGAATGCGAAGTTCGCCGAAATTTTCTTTCGCTTCGCAAGTGATAATACCGGCCTTACAGGCTAACCTAATATTCGCGGCTTGCGTTTTGGTACGCATGTCGTCGAATTTGTTTTTTTGCGTCACCCGAAATTTACTTGCATGCGTTTGCATTTGATTTCATTGAGCGAAACGTCAAATCAAAATGTCACGCAGAACAAAAATTGGAAATTGAGTTAGCTTCATACGCACGCCGTTCAATTTCGGTTGATCTCATACAAGTTGCATGTGCATGAGAAATTTTTGACAATAAATTGGCGGCGTGCGTGAATATTAGGTTAGCCTGTTAATGAGGGTTCTCACCAGTGTTGCCAGGTTTTCGGTATGAGAAGACGTCCCTATTGGTCTGAAAAAACGTCATTTCCTACCCAAAAACGTCTTTTCCATGTATGCACACAGAATTGTTCTTATTAAACTTTTATTATATACGTAAGGTATATTAAAATGTCACTTCGACAGAGCACATTTAAAATTCATTAGTGGTATTCACAAAAGTGAGCAAGTGGCCTGGCACTCTGGCAAAACAGCAGATGAGCAGATGAACAATTTGGTGAATACCACTATTGTAAACTAGTTTGAGATCGTTAATATAAAAATCCTTTTATACATACACTTGTGACCAGCTGATTAAGTCATCAACATTTTGATCCATTTTGGCTGTTTTTCTTTTTTATATTAATTGTTTATTATTTTTTCATAAAAGCCTAGCTCATTATATAAATAACACAATATAATTCCACATTTCAAACTTTTTGCAAAAATTATAAAAAATCTGCAAACCTCCAGCTAGATTTTCAAGTTTTTATTCAGATTTTTTAGATTTTTTTTGAGTATGCACTTTGACAGCCCATTAAATTCCACGGTAATAATGTGCAAGTTTTAAGTTGCTAAAGAATCGCTTTGATTTTTAATATTATTATTTTTTTTCTTGTAGACCTTTGGTTAGGTGGTCGGTTGTCGAAAATGCTAAATTACGTTCTGCTAAGAAAGAACATAGTGCTTTTGCGAGCGAGCATGTTGCAATAGATCAGCTCTTCCTGATTTGGCTTTTAATATGCAATTGCAAACATTGTAATAAGCCTTGTAACCTCAGGTGTTGACACGGTGTTTGAACGCGGGATCCTCAGTCCAAGAATCAAAAAAAAAATGCTCGTACGCTTGGTTTGCATCATATTTAAGTCATATGTGCCCAAAGAATAAATATCTTTTGAGACACCTGCTGCAAAAACAAAGCTTGTAAAGATTTATTAAGAAAATAATTCAAAATCAGTTCTACTTACAAGATTTAGTAACAAATTTGCCGACAGTGTGAGCGTAAGTACTTACTGTACAAGCAAATAGTACGCTATTCATTGAATATATTGTGCATTAAGAAAAGTTACTGGGAAGTTCAAAAACGTAATTTTTTTTACACAAAAAAAACGTCAATAGGATACAAACAACATCCAAATGACGTTAAAAACGTCAACCTGGCAACGCTGCACCTGCTGCAAAAAACAAAGGTTTTAAAGATTTATTAAGAAAATAATTCAAAATCAGTTCTACTTACAAGATTTAGTAACAAATTTGCAAGCAAACGTAATTTTTACACAAAAAACGTCCAAACGTCAACAGGATACAAAAAACGTCCAAATAACGTTAAAAACGTCATCCTGGCAACGCTGGTTCTCACTACTGTTAGTGGAACCAGAAATATTAAGTAAAAAATGCGTTTATTGTATCCTAGGGGAAGAAATTAAGAATTTTTACTTACACTCTCTAAAATACCTCTATTGCAGATACGAGGTTAAGTCAGAAACGGGACGAGATGTCTCTCTCGCACCTCTCCCTTAGCAGTGGCATCCCTGCAAAAAGTGGGACTAGGTTAAATACTAGTACGGGACCACGATACCTTGTAACCAACACTAGTAACCAAAATGGTCCAAATATATGGAGAAAATATGGTAATATTAACATTGCGATGTCATTGGACCTGACTACCTCTGGTCCAACGCTGCATAACGTGGGGCAAGTCCTGGTCGACCACTGCATAACATGGGACCACCTAGGCACCTACTCCTTTTGGACTATGGCACACTCGGCAACCGAATCGTATTGCCGATCGGCCGTGAAGATGTGGTGTTGAACACATTTATCAGTTTTTTACGTTTGAAGTGGTCCAGGTTAGCATAACAAGTTAGTGGTATGCAACCTGGTCCTTTTGCACATACTTTAAAACCACGGCCCAATGGACTACCTGGTCCTCAAATTTTTGCAGGGATCGTGTTGCTTCTTTGCAAATTTACTTGGAAAAAGTGTAGCTTTGGTGTGAAATAGAAGTATAAATGCAAACAGTGTTGCCAAACATGAGCTTTTCCTACCAAAATTGGTAGGTTTTTTTCCATTTGGTAGGTTGGTAGGCTTGATTGGATTTTGGTAGGTTTCGGGACTACGAGTAATAGTTATTTGAGAAAAATAGAAAATATGTATCTCT